TGATTTATATCGTTATCGGACGATAGAATTCTTATATCGGGATATGAGATTTTGGTCATATCGCACAGCCCTACCGTGTATCATACAGAACCCAGAAACTAAAATACAGAGCTGGAATTGAGCAGAATAACTCCGCTTTAAGGTCAACTTATCACCAGGTTCAGTGGGCAGGTCTTTTCCCCTAATGAATCAAATAAACACACAAATACAGATTAAATTCTATCAAAGTCTAAATTGCAAGTAAATGAGCATTTCTTGCCAAAATATCAGTCTGACCCTGACCTGAAAGCTGGAGAAAAAAAATGGTGTCCTAGCTTCTAAGTGCTCTCTGACAGCAAGAGCATTTTATGGAAGAGATCACAACAAGTGCAATCCATTTTGGGTAAAACAGTGTTGACAAAGCACCCAGTTTTTTGTCAAGGTTATGACAGATTTTAAAACATTTTCTCTAAATTAAATTTAGAGACTGGCTTTTTAGCCATTGCATAGTAATAAATTAAATGATGGCGAGTGCTGCAAACATCCTTGAATTATGGAAAGGTTTAAACAAGGCTGTGGACTTCATTTATATATTGAAGATTTGTTTTTGACTGATTTTCCCTCACTAATGAAAGTATTTTTTTTGTAAACTTCAAAGTGTTGTCAAGTAAAGAGGGTTGAAATAAGGCAAAACTAAAATATATCATAACCTACAAAAGCTTGTCTGTTTTGTTTATGTGTGTTTCCTATAAAAAAAATTTAACCCCCTAAAACCTAAAGAAACGCCCAAGCTCTGACTCTCCACTCCATAGCCATATAAACAAAGACATAAACTAAGGTTGGAAGGAAGTAGTAAAACAGAGTAAAGAAGAAAAATTCTGCCACTGTGTGCACTCAATAGTGCAGGCAGCCTTTCACGCCATAGCTGTGCGCACAATAACCACTAGCAGCAGCTTGGCAGGAAATCAGTTCAGCTTCTCTTGTTCAAAGGTTTGAAGAGGGTGAGGAGAGGGTGAGGAGATGGAGAGAGAAGAGGTGGTGGGAAGACATAAGGAAAGGCGGGAAAAGAAAGTAGCCGAGAGTATAGGAGGGGATGGGAACGAGAGGATGAATGAAAAGAGGGTTAATGAGGCTGTCTAGGACCACCAGAGACCTCTCATTCCATGTAAAGCCTAGCCACATAAACAGAGCTTTTGGCACAGCTGTGACCGAGTGAGTGGGAGAGAATCTCCCAGGCACAGGAACCTTCATGCATATCTCTGCCTCTCAGCAGCCTGACTCCTGAAAGTAGCAACATTCAAACAACCTTAGCAGAGACTAATCTGTCCCCCGATAGAAGGGCTGCAGTCACTTCTAAAGGCATCTGCAAATTGTCAGGGAGAAATAACATACTGCTGTCTATTGAGGATGAATGGCCCACATTCCTGCTGCGTTATAGTCATTTAATTCTCCCCCTCAGTCCTCTCACCGTGGCTTTAACAGATTACACTTGGCAGAGGCTGGATAAAGGGTGGTGGCTGCTTGGCGCGTGCTTTCCCTGGAGAAACAAACACTTAAATGGATGCAGCTGAATGTATCCTTCAAGAAAAATACATTTCAAGAACCCTCTCTAAACAAACTGAACTCCTCAAAGAAAACTGGGATGATTATCAGAAAATCATTACGCATGAAAGTTCCTAAAGGGGTAAAAATTCGATTGCACCACAGCTAAAACTACCCCGGTAGCCTGGATGGCGAAATGAAAATGCAGACATTGAGATGTGCTATTTCCCCCCCTTTCTCTTCCTTCCTCTCTGAAAGGGACATGGAGCGTAATGAGCACATTATTAGGGACAATTTATCTTCATTTTCCATTTTTCAGCAGCAGAGGGAAGCTCTGACATCATGCCAGTGACAGCGCAGGGAGGGGAGCCAGGTGGATGAGTAGTCGGAAGAGTAGAGGGAGGCGAAAGGGCACAAATGAAGCACAAAAAGGTGGACAGAAGTGTGACGAAAAGGCAGCAGAGAGAACCAAAAAGTGTGTGATGAACCAAGAAAAAGGTGAGGAGGAGGGGGAGGAAAAACACTTTCTGATAGATATTGACAGAAACCCACCAAGAGCTACAACATCAAGTTCAGGCTGCTGGATGGTGTTTGCCAAATGCTTGCAATTGAGTCTGATTGTGTGATCGTCCCATTTCCTTCTACTATGGCTCATCGGACACTTGTGAAAAATTACTGCAAAGTGCAGATGATGCGTTTGTGACAAAAAGGAAGACTGTAAGGGGGAGGACAAAGAAGGTGACAAAGAAATGAAGGAAAGCAGAAGGAACAGAAAGCTCGGTTTGTTGGCCAGATTTATACTCCCTTGACGAGACACACACGCACACACACACACACACACACGCGCAGACAGCTGTGGACACTGAGGAGTGAAGTTGTTCTACTATTACTGTTACACTACTCAGGAGGCTGACAACCCTTTGGCTCTGCTGGAGACATCATCAGTCAAAGTAGCAACATCTGTGTTTGTGTGTGCAGTGAGTCTGGGTAATAAAAAACAATCTCACTTTAAGAACATTTCCATAGTAACAATGATAAGCTCTGAACTACTACTAAGTCAGGCTAGTGTAATAAATAAATACAAATGCATGTGGAAAGGCCTGTGATGTTTAATAAAAGGCTGGAAAAACAACAAATTCACCCAAAATTAAAACATTTAAAGACAGTTCCATCCCACTGAGGAAAGAAGCAGCATGCAGTCACGAGAAACAGCTAGCAGCAAGGCCAAGACTGACCTTTCATTACACTTCCACAGTCGACACCCAGCTGCCATCATTAACTTCTGCCTTTTTGGTTATTATCCCATGTGATTCAGCTCGAACAGATGCAAAGGCAATTTCGCTCAATTAAAAATTATTTTGCCAGTTAATTTTTATCATAAATATCTGGTTGATGCGCTACAAGCAAAATGAATAAAAATACGTTTTATTACGCAGCTGAACCTTTTCATCTTAAAGGACTGCGTGTTCCTTCAGAAATTTAAAGCAATACTAATCTTTCAGAGTTTGCAGAATTTACCTGAAGCGCGAGTATTTCCCTTAAAATTTTACAAGGATAGCTAATACATTACATCAAAATTTAAAGTAAAGATATTTAGCAGCATATTCCCAGTGATCTTGCTACAACGCACGTGTGTTTATTAGACGTTAAAAATGGCAACTGGTCGTACATGAGCGTTAGACATAAATAAAATAAATAAGATCAAGTCGTGCACACACACACACAGCACCTTTATGTAAACAGAACAGATGATGAGCTGAAGTAACACAACCACCAAAACAAAACAAAACTAAATTCACCTTGTACGTCACCATCAACGAGGGCATCTGAGAAAATCCCAAAGCAGCATCAAGTCAAGAGGAAATAAGTGTCAGTTAACCTCAAAGTAACACTACACTGATTTTCTGAGTAACGTGTTATTTTATGACGTGGAGGCAAAACCAAAAGCGGAGCAGTGTTTCATCAGTTTGAAATTCCCACTGAATAATCATGGTTATCTGTAGTTGTCATTATTTGTCTAGACTATGATCTAATGTCCTGGAGATTCTGCAGAAAACGGGAGCAGAAAATGAAAGGCTGCAGGCTGATCTCCGTCCATCAATTCTTGTTGCCGTGTGGAAAACACCGGGACAAGATACGTGTGTTTAGCAAGCAAACACTAGTCAGCTCTTGTTTTTGCCTCATTTGCTCAGGATTCTCTTAAGAATGACAAACTAGTTTGCACAGGCACGCTTTCCAATTAATTATCTTCCTGATCTCTGGCATACTTCTCTCACACACACACAAAGCCACCCCCTTTCCTGCCTCAGTGATTGCCCACAATATAGCCTGGATAATGCACTCATCAGAACAATGGATTTGAAGGAATGCCATCACGTTTTGTGGAATCATTTTCTTCACTTTCTGTTATTTCCACTACGGGGGCACCTTGTGTTTATGATTAAATGCTCTGTCAGTTATTTAACCACAAAACAAAACGTTTTTTCCCCTGTATGAATGCCACACGTGCGTAATATCAAGCAGTAGCCTTGATTCTCACATAAAGCAAAACTAAAGGCAGCTGAAAATCATGGTTTCTGTGGCGTTCGGTAGTTAAACCTCTCGCCTCAGTCACACTAGTTACAAATCTGAAATTTCGTCAAAGCAACCATTTCAAAAGCAATCGGATCAAAGTTGTTGCATGCAGTCGTAATAACCGTGCCAACCACCGTTTTCTTTTGTGTGACTGTAGCATAAGTGAATTGCGCTTGTGCAAGGTTACACCTCTTTTAGGTGTGGTAACTGAAGCAACTGATTTATTTGAAACCAGAAAAGGCAAGTGAAGCTGCCTGGAAATAATTTAAACTTAGTTCTTCCTCTGACACAATAGTTTAAAGGCAGACTATCAAATAATAATAATATGGTTTCTATCAGAATGTAATCAGTAAAGCAGATGTGTGATCTGCACAAGCTGTTTAATACTAAAGTATTTTTGCTTGAGAGCACTCAATTAGCAAAAAAGCTAATGAATACCGATTCCTAGACTTGGTTTCTTAGTCTATATTTGCCAATATTTGTCTTCGAGCAGGAACTATGTTTTGGTGACACTCCAGGGCAACCACTGACCTCGCGTTCACTCTTTGCTTTCAGCTTGAGTAAATGAAACAAAAGAGTCAGAAACATGCCTGAGAAATAATTATATAAGAGTGCATCCCTGTCTGCACAAAGCAAACATAACTGTATCGTTTAACATGCCAAGAAAGGAGGAACAAAACACTTGTAACTTATTTTAGCAGACTTGATATTAGAGCGTCAGTAATTTAATGCTGAGACTTTCAAAAGAAGATATATAAAATACTGATGCACCGTACAGAGCAAGTATGTGTGTGCGTATGTGTGTGTGCAGCGGAGCACCTGCGAGGCTGTCAGGTCGCGTCATTCTCTCGTAAATGTCGTAACTCTGGGGTCCGTAGGGGTCGGTGTTGTGGAGCAGGGAGCGGGGCAGAGTGGAGCTGTAGTGCTGGGGCACGGCAGTCATACTAGCCCTGACTGGAGACGAAGTGTGAGTAGGCTGTTTAGTCAGCGGAGGGTTGACGTTGTCGACCATCGTCAGAGGTGAGCCCATGCGGCCCGAGGGTGACCCTGCTGAGGCCTGGTAGGGTGAGGTGGTGCGGCTAGATCGAGAGTTTGTGGAGCCCATGCGACGCAGTGCAGCGGGGGAGTTTTTCTGAGTGTTGTAGGGTGAGCCACTGCTACCGCCGCCCGTAGTACTGGTTCGCTGGGCAGAGGGCAATGTTGTAGAATAGATGGCGGACAGGGGTTTGGGTTCTGTAACAATGGGGGAGCCGTAGGCACTGCCAACTGAGGTACGCAGGGAACCACGGGAGGGGGACATACTGCTCGCGTAGGCTGGCGAGTGAGAGCGAGAAGGCACTGAGCTGACCCTTCGCATAGCTCGGCCAGGCACTGCTGTTGTGACCTGCAAGCAAGAGAAAAAAAATAAAAAGGCTCTGTGGTTTAGTTTACATTCAGGAGGAGCTATAAAATTATGTACTGTAATAATAATGACATGCTGCATAAAACAACATTGCATAAAACAATTCATTACAGGGCATGACTTTACTCTGAGACATATTTATTTTCCTTGTGCTCCCCTCCTCTGTTGTGTGACGGCGCCATTTGGTTTCTCAGCATTCTCTATACACGAAGCTGTAAGAAGCGTGATTAGGTTGTGGTGCTCGATCCCTCTGTGCATTAAAGCCATAAATCACTAACAAACTCAACAGCAATTCTGGAGCAATTAAACTTCACGACCCTTTGAACAAGCCGTATGATGAGATAAATCTTGACTTAAACAACCGTCAGTACCTGGGCTGAAGCCTGTCCCTCAGCCCTGGCATTCCTCATCAGTGTGCCAGTGCCAGCACCGGGGAAGGAATGCTGCACCCTTAGTTCAGCCTTGCCCAGGTTCTGGCTGCTGAGGTAGCTGCTGCTGGCATCCTGGTAACCACTGTCCGAGTATGAGTTCATCTGAGCTGAGCTACACGAATTCCCTCCAGATCCTGAGAGATAATGAGAGAAAAACGACAGACGAGAATGAAATGCTGGGGGAGAGTATGGAGAGCGGTTAGAGGCACAGGGACACATCATAAAGGGTTTCATAACAGATGTGACCTTTACTTAGGATAGCCTTACTAATGACAAATGGCACAGCAGGGGGGGTGGGTAACAGTTTTGTCAAGCTATTACTCAGTGTGCCATGGTAAATATCCAGCCTTTTATACCTTATGCTTATACTGATAACAGTTTATCCTGAAGAATATAACGGTGAAAGACAAAAAATAAAAACAAAGAGTGTAATCATAAGGTATAAAATTAAAGAAAATTGTTTTCAAAACTGGCATCAGTGTAGTGGAACAACGCTGAGGCAAGAGAAAGCGAGCAGAAGAGAGGGCTGCAGAATGTAGAGAGAAGGCAACAACAGACCCTCACTTTCATGAAGGGAGGACTGCTCCGGGGAGTACAGAGACACCTGCTCTGACTCCGTCCTGATGCGGTACCTCGGGGACTGGGAGCTGTCAGTCACCCGAGACTTTGTGTCCCCCAAGGCACAGGCATCTGAGAAGACACGGCAGAGCAGAAAGTCAGGCAGAGAGGTGGAGCTTCAGGTCTGAAATAATCTCACAGTTTTCGGTCTTTGGGACTGAGAGTTTACAATAGTCGTTAAAGCAGTCGATATTTTATGGAACTGAAAGCAAACAATAAGACGGTCATTTCAGCAACATTAGTTTCACACTTGTATACAGTTGGAGTCATTAAATTTTACTACCATACTAATTCGGGAAGTCAAAATTGGGCGGCATGTCACTTCAATTGTGTATACAGCCATGCTCTAAATCGTTTCACAGCTCTAACATTTCCCTGCATCCCCTCTCGCGTCACGCACGGCAACAACGGGCGAGGCAAACAGAAGCCGAAATTAGCTGTCTAATGTCTCTGTGCACAATGTTTCTCCACAGTCACAATCTAGTTAAGCGTGACCAGAGTCAATGGATTCCTCTGCAATCACTAGAACAATTGGCAGTGAATGACGGGAAGGAAGAAGACAAACATTGGTGGTCTGAGTTTGTCAGATCCTGCCCGGTTCGCTAGCGTGTGAATGAAAGCTGAATCCTGTGACTGAGCCGCCTTGTTGTCAAAACTGACCTGTTGAATAAATGTGTTGACATGTAGGCTTTGTGCATTTGACAACCTGGCATCTTGCACTCCCACTTTTGGAGGACTAAAGGTGCTTGGCTATTTACTGAAGGGATTGAGTCAAAGCAGATCAAAGCAGATCTGGGGTCAGACTGTCAGAAAGCACAGTGGGGGTGGCCTGTTGTGAGAGAGGCATCCCCCATGTGGCTTCAGAGAGTCCAGTCTACAACAAACTCTGTGTCAACTGTGTCAGTGCAATTTAATACGTGGATACTCGCTCAGATTTTTGTGTGTGTATTTTTAAGTTTGCAACAAAGATGAAAAGGCATTTATTAGCCAAAGACATCAAACAACTCAACAATCTGAATTCTGACAGTGACTCTTAGTCTGGTACACACACAGCATGTTGTTTAGGACATTTTGTACCAAGCGCTCACTCTGTCTGATAAATAATATGCCAAAAAGGCAAAATAGATGAGAAACTGGAATAGACACAGAGCGCAAGTGCAGAGCGAAACAGAAGCCTTTTTGATCTGTGTAGAAGATTACACACATATTTCGGATAGTTATTTTTTCCCCACGACTACTGACTAAAGAGGAGAGCAGCGGCCACTTCTTACATTTAGGCCCCAGCAGTGAATTTCAAAACTTATTTTAGAGCTCAACATTTATCTCTACCGCTTGCCCTTGCTTTGCTAATCCCACTAGTAGATGTCTAAGCACTCTGCCCCCAATTTTTACATTTTCTTGTCTATTAACAATGCATTAGATAAGAATGTAGAATGTCTGTAAAGTGGGCAGCACCAAGCAGAACCCAAACAATCAACTCGTGTGTTTCCTATTTTCCTCAAACAATTTATTTCCCTGGATTTAAAGAGCATCTTTCTGGTTTGTGTCTCCAGCTAATTAATGTGCTGGAAAATGATGCAGAAACTGGATTTTCAGAGGAAAAGAAAGAGTGACACTGGGACGTCACATATGAGAAAAGTAGATTTTGACACCGAGGCTGAAAATCGATATGAGCACATACAGGATTAGAGCCCAGGTATTAAAGTGAGAAAAAAAAAAAAAAGTCGTATTACCAATCTACCAAGGATGCAAAAGGCAAGAAAGGGCCAAACAGTGGGGAAAAAAATAAAAATCAATGTTACAAATATTGAAACAGTATTTATTTCAGCACCCAATAATGATTTAGTTTTAGCTGGTTCCTTAGCTTTTGTTTTATTATTGAGACTACTGAGACTATTGAGGCTGTGTGTCCTTGTGTGTACCACTGGTCAATGCTGAGATAATGGAAAATGCTTGGTGTCCTCTGTGGGTGTCTTTTCTTGTATACTGCGGGGGTGATCGTGGCTCAAGAGTTGGGAGTTCGCCTTGTAATCGGGCAAGACACTTCACCCGTTGCCTACTGGTGGTGGTCAGAGGGCCCGGTGGCGCCAGTGTCCGGCAGCCTCGCCTCTGTCAGTTCGCCCTAGGGTGGCTGTGGCTACAATGTAGCTTACCATCACCAGTGTGTGAATGTGTGTGTGAATGAATGGATGACTGAATGTGTAAAGTGCTTTGGGGTTCTTAGGGACTCTTAAAGCACCATTTACCATTTACTGTGGGTCCGTACTTGTGAGGACTAAGGTGTTTTAAATGAAAACATAAGTGTTGCATGGACAACGTTGTAGTGGTCAACACTGGCTTGTTTGTAGCTGGTGACACAAATCCCCTTTGGGGTTGTGTTACAAAGGGTAACCGTGGCCACATACCCTCCGTAGCGGCTCCTTGTGGCAAGGGAGCAGCGAAAAGTAGCCAAGTGGGAATGTAGAATAATAATCTTCTAGGATTTGGCTCCGAGTGCCTCTTTTCCCCTTGAAAGCCTACTAGGAATAACCCTTGAAGCTCTTCTCTGAACTGAGTGGTTTCTGTCATATTGCAGGGTTAGTTATAGAACAAAATCCCAGATTTTCCATCAGAAGAGAGCGAGGTTGGTCTCTACCTATGAGCTGCCCATTGAAAGAGAAGAAGAAGAAGAAGAAGACGAAGACGAAGAAGAAGAAGCTACTCAAATGGTCATCAAATTATTTATTGATTTATAATGAGGTGTCAAAACTCGTCATTAAGGGGAGAGGAGAGGTCATCGAATATCATATTTCAGTCAAAACTTGTTTTACCACTCCAATAAATACTTTATTTATGATATGGGCTACATTTTGCTGCACACAACAGTGTTTCATTTGTGTGCCAGAAACCCTCACGCCCACTTTCTATTTGGGTCAATGGGACAGTTATATGGTACTCCTGTGATTCTGTTTTCTAGGACCAGCAAAGCTCAAGTCTGTTGGCTTACAATGTTACATCACAGGTGACGAATTATGCATGTAGAGCCAACACCGAGGGAGCAGCAGCAGGTAAAATATAAAAATGCTCTCCTTTTAAATATTTTTATCTGAACGTTTTACCTCTTTCTGTAAATATAGGTAATTTATCCACCTGAAATAAACACACAAGCACATGTCTCGTGTGAACAAGCTAATTACAGCACTGGAATGATGTATGTACAAATGAATAAATAAATAATTAGAAGAGGTATCACTCCACCCAGCAACATACTGCTATCAATCAGCAATATGTAAAATCTGGGAATTTTTCTCCCTTCTGACATCAAATAAGAAATGACTCTTGAAACCCTAATTGATAGAAATCTATTATAGTTATAGAAAACATCCATCCATGTACAGCCTTATATTTCTGTGTCTTCAAGGCATTGAGGAGGGGTGGAGTGTATTCAAGTGGACAGCTGGCCAGGTGCCTCTGTGATGATCTGACAATAACTGCTGGTTTCAAGCACTATTATTTCACTTTGCAGGGTGGTTGCATTTGCTGTTACATATCAGGCAGTGTCAAAGCTGTAGTGTTTGCCCATTTATTCTGTGATTTTATGCTGTAATAGCTTGTAAAACACACAACACTGTATACTGATTTTTCCAAAACACATTAAAAATGTCACGGTATGATATTGCACTTAAAGTTGTTTATTCCCAATTTTTTGATCATGTTTTTGTTGACCAGCTAGAGCTGTCCCACGAGTCTTGGACAATACAGCGTACAGCCAGGACTGATCTCTACCGCGATCAGCAATAACTTTATGTCTTTTGAAGAACTTGGGACTATGTTAGGCATACCTTCAAAGCATTTTTTAAAAGTATCTTCAACTGTGAAATTTTATACTGGCTGGGCCATCTAATGACATGAATCTTCCCTCTCAATCTACCTTAGAAGATTTCTTTATGACACAAATTATACACAAAGAATCATTTCACAAAGTAATTCATGGTAAACAGATCTGACCAATGATTTACCCGAGAAAGAAGAGTTATAAGGAAGTTATTCTGGTGAATCAGAAGTTTATTCGACAATAAATGTAATTGTCTGAATGGATCTCAGCTTCATTATATGTGGGAATGCATCCTGATACTCTTGTTCTTGGTAGAGAGTCTTGTATATATGTAATCAGATCACTGGTGAAGAGGTGCCTCTTCCTAATCCTGAATTATGCTTACTGAATATTTACCCAGATGGGTTTGTGATCTCTAAAATGCCAGGTCTTTACTCAGTTTCTGCTTTATGGAAACCGAACAGTGCACAGCTCGCTCACAGAAGAAAAACAACCTGTGCAATTTTACAATGACTTACAGGAACGACTTATCATTTTGCTTTGGGAAAGATAAGCTGCCTGACAAAAAAGTATGTTTTTCACAAAAGTAGCATTACAAGTTTTGAGGTATTAGGAACACTTTCTGAAGCTTACTGAAGAATAATATTTTAGCAGATGATCCCAAGTTTCCAATTTTCCACCTAAACAACAATAACAACCCAATCACTGTATGCTTATCACCTAGCTATACTCTACTTATAAAACTGCCTCTGCCTTTTACTTTCAAAACAATTTGATAATTAAATGAAGTATTAAAAAATCAAACATGATACTGACATGTTGAACTGCCAGCATGAAGACAAATGCATGTTTGATAAAGAGAAGGGATCGAAACACAAACAGACAGACGAGGCACAGAAAAAGGAGAAAGCTCCATTTCTGGGGTGCTTGCTCTCTTCTTGCAGATGTACGAGGTGCGACTGCACTGACTTTTCCTGAGGCTAAGACAGTTGTTTCTACAGTAACACTTCCCCTCCGGTCTCTCAGTCGGTGGAGACGTACGGTGGCTCACGAGGCCGATGAGCCTCAGAGAAAACTGTGGCCCATTACACTCTGTGCCACACATTTTGAGTTTAAGTCATTTAGATTGGACAAAGTACATCACCGCATCTGACTATCATTTATCATCCACAACACAATGAGAAATCAATACAAAGAAAAACAATGGCAGCGATTAGTACCCGACTCAGTTGTAACCCCAATGAAATGCATTCAGCATGGAAATTGGGACTCGGGCAGAAAAAGAGAAACCCATGTGATATTTATATTCCCTCTGCATATGTACAAGGCTAACCCCCCATAGGCTCTTTTTGATGGGATCGAAAACAAAAGATTAATGACCACTGCAGAAAGTCAGTCTTCCACTATGCAATTAATAAGCCATGAAAGACATTAGTAAATTTAATCCATTATCTGTTGTCGCCTAAACATCCTTGAAAGATGCGGGCTAAACAAACAGACCAACGGGGTCTTGGGAGAAAGTCTTCTGCTACCTGCCAATGCTGCCATTTCATCTGAGTGGGCAGAAATTGCTTAAGTAACTATTAAAACAAGAACATGCCTGGGGCTGTCAATTGCGCGGTTGAAAACACTTGTATTAGCACAGATTATTGTGGAAATGTAAAACATGTCTGTACTGCACACAATGCACACACACAAACACACAAAATGTACATTTTATCAAGTCTAGATACATGCACAGCCCTTGCTTTGCAAATGGAGAATTGAAAAGCACTTAGCTTAGCCGATATAACTCACTAACACTGCATAAGCTGCATGTTGTTCTCTCAGGTTCTAACAGGTCCAACAAGAAAATAATCAGTTTTAAATAGGAAATATTTTACTAAATACTTTTAGTTTGAAACCTGCAGGGAGCTTATCTGAATAATCCATGTATTGTAGTATAAACGTTAACCACAGCAGTCAGTGCCCTTGAGAAAGTAGGTGAGCCTCGTGGCCTGTAATGTTTTAGCACTGCGGCATGTGTAATTATTAACTAATTATTGACTAATTTCAGGTCTGGGTACAGACTCAAATGGGGGAGTGTTTGCTTCAATTCTTGATTACTCCCGCAAATACGCCGATATAAAAGACACCAAATATAAATGTAAATGGACACAGCGTAAAATGAGAAATTATTTTATGAGCAGCAATAGCATTTCACTAATTACCTGCAGTTCTCCAAGGTAGGGACTTCTCAGATGAGCTGTGGGGGAGAAAAAAAAGAAAAAACAAAAACAACAGATGAAAAGGTGAATAAATGCACTACGAACCAGAGACACCACAGTGGAAGATATGAGTGACATCATCTGGATGAGACACCTTGGAGCCTCATCTACTTGTGCCTTTTACAACAAGATTAGAGATGGTAATCAGTGCTTTTGAGATAAAACAGCTAGCGGTTCAAAGGATGCTGCCAAAGTGGAGCTGTTTGCATCTCAGATGAAATCTAAATGAGTCAGCTAGCATTTTGTTTGCACACTGCCATAAAAAAGAAAAAAAAAATATATATACATACATATACACACACATACATATACACACACATGCAGGACTGGCAGCTGTTTTTCCACATTCATTTCATTCATTTAGTAAATATGCTAAGTCAACGGCCGAAGGATGGAATATAACCTGAAGGGAGCTGAAGCAGCACAGACACATGAGAAACTCTCTCTGAGTAAATCAAAAAGTAATCACATTGTATATTCACACCCTCTGTCTTTAAGCTCAATGTCCTGACATGCTGACATAATCCTGACATGAATACCAGTATTTATTCCAGTGGAGCCTGTATCCCACAGAGGTAGTCACCCTCCAGAGAGTAATGCAGGGGAATAATGATCCAGCCAGAGAGAAATCACAGTTTGGGTCCATTATTTGGGAATAACACAGACCGTACCAAGCAACAAAATCAGAAAGAATCCAGTGACAGTGTGTGGTAATATAAATGGTCTTATACCAATCAACTGCACTGAGCGTTTTTGGCATGAAAGGCATGACACAAGCTTCTAGTACAGTTAGCTTTAGTAGTAAACCCATTTGTCCTAGATGCGTCTGATGTTTGTAGGCTTTACTGTATATAGGAGGCCTTAATTTTCCTAAATTTCAATTAGTTTTCTTTTCCAGGTAGACAGATGACTGAAAGCCTTTTTTCAAAAAATTATTATAATATATTTTGTTTATCCCAAGACTTAAAACAAAGGCTACTCAGTTTTAACTACTTAACTCTATTTAAAGAAAGAGGCCAGTTACAGTTCAGTGCAAATCCTCGATCATGATAGTCCTAAATCCTAACCTAGAGTTCTTATTACAATGCTGAAACTACAACATGATCTGAAACAAACTGAAAGCTAAATTATAGCAGGTAATTTTTTGTTTTAGAAAGCTTCAAATAACCAAAGTGTGGTTACAAAGCTAACTAAAATGTAAGAGACAATTCAAATAACATTGTAGCGAATGGAATGGACTCAAATGAATACAGCTAAGAAGAAAGAGCAGTGTGGAACAGACGAGCAAGTTATCAGGTACTAAATAGGACTCTAAACTTATTATTTTAAGTATGTGTGAACATCAAATCACTGATCAAAGGTAAAAACCACTCACTCTCCTGTTCTAGAGTTAGTTATTACAAGAAACAGAGGCCAAGCAGGAGACCTCGGAGCAGTGCATCCACCCCGTTCTTTTTCAGATCTTCCATTTGCCAATCATTAATATCAAGCAAAGTGTTGCCGCTATTTCTTCCCAGTTAAGGTGACACTAAATGAGCTTTAAGAAGCACTTTCTTAGAATTTTAATGAGCATGCAGGCAATTAAAAAGAGGAAGTTGGGCGAGCTGAGCTTCACTGAAGCATGGGAGATAAAGCAGAAGAATGGCTACCGTAACGATTATGCGCCACCCGTGCTGCATGCTGACCGGCAGGCAGAGCGAAGGCGCTGCTAAGTGAGAGTAAAAGTGCCAATGGTGATACACAACAGGCCTAACTGTGACATGACACTTTATTTCCCATCAGTCCTTTTGGCTAATGAAAGGCTGGCTGGGTGTGGAGGTTGCATCTTCTAGTTAAGTTTGCCAGAGGTGAAGTTTGATGGCCACCCCCTGTCTGCTTGTACAAATGAAGGCGGAGGCCAGCTCTGGAGGTGTCGCGAAATGTAATGACTCCAATCCGAACCCCTCAAGTGTGTTGTCACCTCTGCTGTTGTCCTGCTGTGCTATTGAGCCAATCAGTGTGACCTCAATGCTCGAGGCTAATCTCCATTCACTCGCAAATCCCGAGCCACAACCATATCATTCGTCTTCTTACTTGAAAGAAAAAAAAAAAGAAAGGTGTGAAAAGCAATGTTGTATGTTTTCTTTATAGGGTCCTAGGTGGTTTCAGTCTCTCAGTCTGATGTGTTTATATTTACATGTACATATACAGGCTTTAAAACATCATGCATTAGTCTTATGTTAGCATAAGACTATCTACAGCAGTAGATTTCAGGTGAAGATGAGTTGTCGGGCATCCATGATGGTGGGGGGAAAAAGGCACCCAGTCAAAAGAAAATGCAAGAGACTGAAAACAAATCAGAAAAAAAGCCCTGCACACTTAACTCGCAGAAAATTTAATTTAATGCTTTTTCAAACAGACATCACAAAGCTCAACCAAAACACTGATTGTGATCTGCATGATGAGAGCAGGGCTGGATGATTAGAGGCAAATATTTAGGTGGGACTTTGCCAACAGACACTGGGAATAAATTAAGTTTAAATAATAAAAAGCATCCTAAACTGCAGACTTGGCTGTTTGCTAATAACATTGTTTCAAGCTTCATTCAAACTCAATTAACTTGTTCAGAGGGTCAGACTACGCTGGCTAAATTTTAAGAATGTGCCCATACCAGGCATTTCTGCTTCTATCCATGTACCTTGTCTCACATTCAAATACTCTTGCAACTCTTTCCTACTGGAATAAATGGAAGATGCAAATCCTGATGTTTGGTAACAGAAAGGAAGGAAAAGCGGGAGGAAGGCTGGATCAGTCCTGCAGACAGATACATATTTTGCTGACTTTAGTTACCATATTTATGTGAATTTGTATCTTTTGTATTTTGTTAACATTTAGGATTGCATTTTCTCTCTGTGCCTACACTTGTTCCCTCTGGATGCTCCACTTTCTGCCCACAGACTAAGCCAGCATTCCTTTTACCTTAATACAAAGGAAGTTGGACACTGGAACTGGTAGTGATGTCATACCCAACTTGACCATAATTCAGTAGCAGTCAGAAAAAAAGGCTTTGTTTTCTCTCCATATCATAGTAAACAAATTTTGCCATCAGTAGCAATACTTGGGTATGAACACAATGTACAGGTTAACTAGTGACACATGCACAATAGTTTTACAGTCTTAAAACCATTTTTCTTGCAGCTGCCATCTCGAATTGCAAAATCGAGGTTGGTGTGGCTACTCAGACTTCACCGAGCGGAAAGCCTGACACCACTTCAAATGGAAGGCAGCAGAAAAACAAACTTTTGAGTTCGACTAGTAATTCTGAATTGTACATGGGTGTGAATGTGAATCTTTTGTTTGTGTTAGGCCTGTGATTGACTGGTAAACCACCCAAAGATGTACTTCTTGCTCAAATTTGGCTGGGATAGCCTCTAGCGCCAGATGCCCCTGCTTTATTTAAGCATTTTCTTTTTTTAATCGATGGATGTTCTGTTGTGCTTGGCTCAGGTGTGGCAACAAAACGTTGAGACAAACATGTAGATAATAGCACTAACAAAATGTAGCTGATGGATCCAAGCAATCCAGGTGGTGCTTGCATTTTTTTAAGAGCACAGGCATGTCAACATAAAGAGATCTCTGACAGTTTGGTTCAGAGAGCATATCAACCCAAAGACACTGCATACTGAACAGTTTGCAACAAATGCATGTTCAATTACATGCACAACACAGAATATGCCGCTAAAAGATAAAATGAGTGAATGGAAGGCCAGTAAAATGTCATAATTTGTGGGCAAGAGAAGTGCAAACAGCAGCATTAGCAATGTGAAAAAAAGAAAGATTTCTAAAGCGGTAAAGAGGTATCAGAGTGGTATCTGAGGCAAGATAAGTAGGTGACTAATAGCTATGAAGACAGAAACAGCATACTACTATCGTAGCAAATACACGGAAAACCTTAAGTCCCAAGCTGACAGTCCTAACAACCGAGCTATAGGGCAAGCCTCATTAAAATCAAACCACAGCAACAACCTGTGTCTGCCAATTCAGTCGAGTTTTTTCTTGTGATGCTTTTTAAGTGACACTTAGCCTACAACGAGACGACTGCATGTCCAACATTGCCTGGGATTTTGGCATTTGGCTCATTTAATCCACCAACTACTCTGAAAAACACTTTGTTTTGCAAGCCAAATGTCACTTATGGACCAGTGGATCAAGACAATGAGCTGAAAGCTACACAAAACAAAATTGGGTGATATTTTCATTGTGTCTAGCACACACAAGATTTGATATTTTAGGGAATAATTAGGTTGAGTAAACAAAGACTGCTCTGTCCTTAAGCTTTATTCCCAAAATTAATCTTGATATACGAATCATTTTATAAATATTCCCTTGTGTGGACGAATAAAGAACAACCATAGTGTGGTTGGACTCATTAAAACTGTGCTCCAAACAACATTTTTCTGAAAGAGGAAATTAAAGTAATTACTGGGGCTGTGTATAATTCAGAGAGCTGTTGTCCACACCTCTTTGGCAGCACTTAAAGCCGCTGTATATCTGCACCCCTCTAAAAAAGGGACAAAGGGGAAATGGACACTTACTGAGCAGTGCTGGTAGGTGAGTGCTTTTTAGAGTTATGCAGGCTAGAGTGCAAGAATGCACTATCTAAGGGCATAGGGCTTATTATCAGAAAGCCAGAAAAGTTCAGAGAGCCATTAAAGCTACTTTTGAAACAAAGTGTCATCTATCCAGATATATCCCAATTGTGTTACGGCCCATTTGAGAGTGAATGTAGCAACATGCCATCAGAATTTATATTCACTGACCACTTGTGAAGAAAATAGCTTGCCCCCCACTCATAAAAAGCACTATACAGAAGGATGTAGTATGTAAGAGATTTAAGCTATTAGATAAACATAGATAAGGGTAGGGTGGAACCTTACACTAGAGCTACAACTCCTGTCATCCTTACATGCCCATCTCGAGGGCATAGTATGGTGCAAGATGTTTAAGGAGAGGCAGCAGCAGCTCTGGTGTTTCATGCATCTACAGTAGATGTATCAGAAGCTTGAAGAACCACCTGTGGCAGCAATAATTAGAAGTAGTTGTTTCTTTTTGGTTATATGATGAAGATTAAAAAAAGTAAAAATACATGTGTGTTTACAGGAGTACAGTGCAACAAAAAGATGACTGTACCTTAGCTCTGACCACATGATCCAAACAACATAATGAGTAAATAGCCCTTTTCTGTCATTTCTGATCACTCAGGCCACTTTGACACTATTCGTGCAGGACTTTTAGCATTTCTCCTCGGCACACACGCTCATTAGTTGGAATTTGGGGTTCAATGCGTTGCCTAAATACACACTTGTAGGAGCCGGGAATCTAACCACCGATCTTTCAAGTGCAAAGACAGTTTACATAATTTGTGATCTCATCATTATTTTTATAGCGGCACTCAGGAATCAAACCTTACAAAGAGACATAATACTTAGGACTAAACCAGGCAGAGTACAGCTTGGTTAACTGCAAGTAAAATACTCGTAGTATAGCAGTATGCCGTTTCAGTAAACCAGACATTCAAAGAAAATGAAAGACACAAATAACTCCCATCATAACTCACAAATTCTCTTACTCTCATTTCAGCTTAAGATACTAAAAGTGCAACTATAACAGGATTCATGTTTACGATGCATGAGCTTTTACCATTGTCACGGAAACCTCGGTACAAATCAATTTTGAAGTGCTTCATTTTTAGTTTTAATAAAAAAATAAAAAAATAAAAAATAGCTCGCCATCAAAAACAGAACATTAAAAAACAAACAGTAATACAACTTTAATTATCAAGCGTTTACACCAATTATTGTTTCTCTCAAACAGGAATAATTTAGTCATAGTCCTGTGTTTGTGACAGTAACATTTACAGTTACGTTACGTGACAAAGCCCTAAAAACAATAATAAACATACTGTGCAAGTATTTTGGTTTGTGCATTTGCAACTGTTACTGCTCATTACCTCTATTGTTTCTGTCGCTGCAGAAGGTTTGTTGTTTACATATGACAGAAGAGGACCATGGATGCATTTTACAGCAGAAGGCAATAAGACTGCTGTTAAAACTTCGTTGCAGCTGCCTTGTGAGGCTGTTGAGATATTTCAACGTTATATCGAGCCTTACAAATGAACCTGACATGTGTGAGCCACAGCAGACAGGACAGAATGTGCGGTCACTGAGGTGTGATGATCAGGCAACCTAGTGTCTTTGCTGATGAAGTGGGAACGCGCGCACAGAGCCAAGTCACTGACAGCAATGCGTCGCTGAGAAAACAACACCTCACGATCATGCGTGCTCACACATATAAATGCATACATACATACGCATGCACATGCAAGGAGTGATTCTGTTCATCTCAGATTAAAGCACAAGACGGAGAAATATTTTAGATTCATAGTCCAATCACTGAGCATCATTGAGCATACTGGGATGCTCCATCACAATGCTATAATGCCATAAGGTTATACCACAGAGTATGGCCACTGCTGTGAAGGATAGAAAAGCCATGTGTTGGACTGTGGCTTCCTCTGTGTGTGTGTGTGTGTCTCTCTTCTCATTACCTGCTGCTACCAGCGCCTGGTGACTCAGCTCCGAGTCTGCATCTTTCCAGCTGATTGGCCACAATCTGCCTCTCCACTTCCAGCTCCCTGGTTAGCCGCTCAAACTGAAGCTCCTGCACATAAACACAATAAAGACAGTCGGGGGACCAAGGGTCAGAAATACATTCTCGCTCAAAAGAAATATGGACTTCGATTGGCAAATATGAAAAATATGAAGTCAATATGGGAGGGGAAAGTTAACAGTTGGCAGCCTGCTCCATGTCATTGTGGTTCATCACTGTGCATAGGTTAATGATGAGATTACAGAGATCTCCTTAGAGAGACGCAATCACGAATATTTCATTTTCCAAGCATTGAAGAGAACACACAATAGCTAGAAAACAAGCTGCTTCTTTCTTACTATAATGATAACAGCACGTGTATGTAAATAGTCCCATCTATTCCTTAACAGCTGAATTAAACCTTCCACCAACATCTTCACACAAACAGCGATAATCAATATCTTTAGGTTTTTAAAAAACTATTTATTATAAATTCAAATTCTTTTGGTTTTTGTAAATATATTCATTTCATCATGTCCACCCAAATGCAATGTTGCATTCTCTGTAACTGTAAACAGCCAAGGTTTTGTCATCTGACTGCATAGATTGGTTTAACAAGATATTAAAAATAACCAGATAAATTAGCCGACCATGTCTATGCCATATGTGAGCAAAGTGAAGAGCACCACAGGCATTAATTAATAAACATTTTAAGGTAACAAAACAGTAATCTTTATTAATGAAGTGATTATGCACTTACAAAAAACATTACTGTGATTATTGTTTTCTGTCTTTCAACAGATCCCTATTATTTTTACACACTGTAGGCAGTAAGTCCCAAACAGTTAATGCAACTATTTTATCAAACTCCTTACATGTCGACTGTTTTCACTTGAAATCCTCTGTGATGATGTCAAGAGCCAAAATTAGAAATATTGTCCCCTGTCGAAAAACGTATGGAACAAACTGTATGTACTTGGAGCCTACACGGCAATGCAATTTTCCAAGCCCACACAGAAAGACAAGCACCACTTCAATAGGTGATATTTGGCCTAGGTGACACTGTTCCTATGGGAGTTGAGGAGAAATCAGCATTTGACTAATTATCTAGCCTGAACAAGGCCATTGCTTGCACAGATCTCTAGCTCCAAGCACTGCATCATGACAGTCATAAGACACACACAAGGTCTTTGGTACAGACTAAATAACTGCACACATACACCCATTTGCATATTTTGGGTTGGGTTTTTTTGGTTTTGTACTCACCACACTGCTAGGATAGCAGCAGAGCCTACACTTGCTTTTTTCTTCCAAGAGACCTCAGTTAACATAACTCAGTATATGAACAGGAGAATCGTTCCCTCGCTATCCTTAAAAGCTTGTTGCAGTTTCTGCATACATGCGTACGCTAGAGTCTCTTTGGGTGCGAATGACATCGACGAGGAACTTTGTGGACAATCCGTGTGTCTGCCAATTCTTTGTAACCACACAATGGACCAACAACTACGCCTTTCAGGTGAAACCGAAGCAGACTTCACTGAAATACAACAGGAATAACACTTGGCTTTGGGGTCCGCACTGTCCGTGTCCTTAGAGTGTAATCCTTTCCTTAGCCATTCCAGTAATGCGCACAACCACGGTCAGTTTTATTCGCAGCCAGCTAAATCTACACACGAACACATTACCTGCCTATCACCTCCTTTTGTGACCTGACTGAGGAAATTTAGTCAGTTTAAAGCACCAAGACCAGCCTGCTTTTCACACCTACTCTGCGTGTTCCCTGGGGGTGAACTGAAACTTCCCTCTACATTGTAGACATGTTCTGCCCACCCCTCCCCCAAACTATTACTTTGTACTCTCCACTGCTCACCTCTTTCCTGAAATCTACCTCAGTTGCAGATATGTGAAGCTTGACTTCAGTGAGAGAGAGTAAGCGGGTAGGAAAGCTGTTATGTTCTACTTCCTTGTGGATTTTCTTCTTCTTTTTTTCCAACGTGGCTGGGAACCCTTATTTGTAAAGCACTTCAAACACAACACAGTTGATCCAAAGTGCTTTCAAGGCTCACAAAAGAAGAAAAAAATGGAAAAGAAAATAATGGAGACAGTAAAAAAGTATTAGCAGCAGTGATAGAGGCACATGGTTACACACAACACTAAGTTTTAAAAAAAAAAAAAATGAAGAAATCCAGCTACAAAACCAGAGCTACTTATCTGAAGTCAAAGGCTGAGGAGTAAACAAAGTAAATGCATGATTTAAATTTTTAAAACATATACTGGCAGTTATATAAACTAAACAATCATGTTTTGTCACTCATCTCTGATTAAATTTCACTTTGTCTGGTATTCATATTTTAAATTTGATTGGCTCTTGAGTGTCATTGCTGAGACTCAAGTTGCAGATTAGATTGTGTCTTTTTATATTATACTAATCATTTATTTGCCTAGCACAGGCGGACGTTTGTAGGAAGACTCTCCAGGAACAAAACAAAAACAATCACGTCATCATCTCCTCGTTACTGGTACAAGCATATATGCCAACAAGCTTGCAGAGCGCACATACAGCAAAGCAGGACGGAAACAGGGTGGCCACAGCAACACTTTACTTAGAGGAAGAAATGAGCCATCAATCCTTTCTGTGACACATAACCCCTACTGAGAGATTTAGTCGCATGAAAATTGCCAATTTCAACCCTTCATCCCAACCAGTCACTCCCGTTTCCATTCTCAGTTTTCTTGTGACAGATGGAGCTAAGTGTAAGCAGTCAAAATACAAATATTGAAATGAATTTCTGAACTAGACGTATGCAGATTGTCAACGGGTTTGATACATTCTGACACAACATTCATTTTAAGAAGTTAGCTGTTACAAAATAGCTACTGATAAAAAAATTAAATGCACACAGAGCGCGAAGGTTACCAACAATACAGGCCGTTCTCTCATTCAAGCCCCAGGACTGAACACCATTCAGACCAACACGGCAAAACCAGAACTGGGGGTGGGTCCACTGCATGGGTCAACTCTCGTCAGTCACCCTCATCTCGACCATGGTTGAAAGAGGTTGGTACAGTACCCAGCACCGCAATCGAGAGGGAAAAAATTAATTAAACTAGCGTTTAAATGTCAAGTGGTTCACTGCAGATTGAACACGTGCTGCATCTGCAGTCTGGAAGTGGTATAAGTGATCACCAATGTGGCAGAGGGCTAGTTTATATAAGAAGAATTTTCAGAGGAAACAGGTAGTAAGAGTTAAGAGAAGGATACTGAATGCTAGTGACAACTGTGTGAGTCACAAGCAGAGAGAGAAAAAGGTGCAGTGATTCAAACAGAGCCCCATTCCTTCTGATACAAAGCTTGAATTACTCTGGTGTGAGTATGGCACCTGTGCACAGGAAAGAGAACATAAGGTGACAGTGACATTTATAGGGGAGATAATTCATATGGACACACAAATATATTCATCAGCCACCTCGCTAAAACCCCACTGGACCACCTTTTGCTTTTAGAGCTGCCTTAATTCTTCACAGCATAGATTCAACAAGCTTTTGGAAACATTTCTCAAGAGATTTCAAAGAAATCCATATTGGCCTGATAGCTTCACACAGTTGCTGCTGATTTTTCAGTTGCACATCCATGATGCGAATCTCCTGTTTCACCACATCCCAAAAGTGCTCTGCTGGATTGAGATCTGGTGCCTGTGGAGGTCATTTGGGTATAGTGCCCATTATGGTACTGGAAGCAGCAATCAGTAGATGGGAACATGTGGTCACAAAAAGATGGACAAAGCCAGAATATTCAGGTAGGCTGTGGCATTTAAACAATGCTCAGCTAGTACTAAAGGGCCCAAAATCTCCCACACATTTATGCACTCACCAGCAGTCTACTCTTAATTCTGACACTATCATCTGAATATTGCAGTATAAATTGAGACTCATCAGGCAAGAAAACATTTTTCCAATTTGCTGTCCCAATTTTGGGCAACTTATAGCCTCAATTTCCTCTTCTTAGCTGAAAGGAGTACCACCTTGGTTTGATCATTTGCTGCAGTGGTGCATGCCCTTCAAGGTTTGATGTATTGTATGTTTATAGATCCTCATCAGCATATGTTGGTTGTAAAGAGTGTTAGAGTTAATTTGCCTTTCCCTTAGTTTGAAGCAGTTTGGTCATTTTCCTCAGCTGTGGCATCAAAAGCCATTTTCACCCAAAGAAATGATGCTGAGAAATCCCATTAGATCAGCAGTTTTGGACCAACCCAGCTAGCACCAATAACCAAGCCATGTTTAAGGTCAATTAAATCACCTTTACTCTGCATTCTAATTAAACTTTATCAGGTCATTTTTTACCACATATACATGCCTAAATGAACCGTATTGTTACCATGTGATGATGTGGCAAATTAGATATTAAATACTGCTAATAAGCAGGTAAAAAAGGTCTACCTCATAAAGAGCCTGGTGAGTCTGTATAAAACATCGAGGTGACAGGACCGTTCATATATTTAAAGAGCACACTCCCACTAGCAGTGATAGTCTGGGAGCATTGGGTCGAGGCCTGGCTTGATACAGTCAAATATAAATGAGACTAATACATAGACATATGTGCAATTTCATCCATGTATAAACCTAAATTACAAAACAATAATCTTGCATGGGTATAGCTTGAGTTATGAATGTTTTGTGCTTCCTTTGGCAGATGCTTATGGATAAGACTCAAACATATGGTGAGAAACACGCACCAAACTGTTTTGTTTACTGCCTGAACGAAGAGTGATTTGAGAGATTTCCTGCTCCTGCAAATGTCACTCTTCTTGGCCCAGCAGTTCTATGCCTTCTTTCTCCTAATCTCATAATCCAATTGTTTTATTTGGCAACGTGCGTCCTTCTCGAGTCCAGCAACTTCATCTCAGGCTGCAAAGTTTTTTATTATACATTGGCACGTGTAAGCAAAACAGACACAGTTGTGTCTTTTTAAATACTTCACAGAAACTGGCTGCTCTTTAATCCCACTGATGAATTGGTCTATGATCTTGATCAGGCACAGCACAGAGAGACATCTGCTGCAGCCATAAGGCTGT